CTCGTCCCCTGTCTCTCCTAAACGCCCCTTCTTCCAATCCCCTCTCCCTATTCAGTCTGTTTCTTGCACTGTCTTTTCACTGCATTGCCTCCGTGTGAGTCTCTCTCCCTCCTTCCTCTCTTTCAATCCCTTCCCCCTCTCCCTCTCTCTCCCTTCCCTCTCTTCCTCTCTTCTCTCTTTCCATCCCTCCTTCATCTCTTTCCATCCCTTCCCATCTCCCTCTCTCTCTTTCTCTCTCCCTCCTCTCCCACTCTCTCTCACTCCCTCTCTCCACCTCAGCTAATACATGCTTCATTAAAACACTCACCTGCAGAAGAAAAAAAAAGAACAGGTAATTGGATAATCTAAATACACAAAGCTTATCTCCATCCTTGTTTATACCTTCATGCGTTAGGTAATTTGTAAGGTAAATATCCTGGCTAGACTCTTGGGAGGACGATAAACCAAATAGGGCAGCCATAAGATGTGTTTTGGGTGGATGGATGGGTGGGTGGGTGGTTGGATGGGGATTGGGTAGGGTGGGGTGGGGGGTGAAGCTTGTTGATCCGGTCTAAGGTATGCAAGAGAACGAGACGGTGGTGGGGGGCGGATGCTTCTTTACATAAACTTTTAAAATTAATTCCACAACTTTACATGATCTTGAAATCTACTGTTAAGAGTCTTGGGTTCACTTGATTACCATACCTGGTTTGTTTGTTGTGATGTTTTGTTAATTAAAGCTTCCCTCTTTACCTGAGTATGATACCTGGGTCATCATTTTTTTTTGCCAATTTTGATTCGAAAAGTTTTTGTTTATCGCCTCAAGATCTTCATTCTGAAATTCTACTTTTATTTGTTGTTGTTTATAAAGTTGTGTTGTGATTATAATTCTCTCTTTCACTCTCCTTCTCTACATCTCTTCCTTCCTTCTTTCTTACATCTCCATTTCCTATCTTTCTTTCTCCCTCCCTCTCGTCCCCTCTCCAACCCCCTCTCTCTATTCAGTCTCTTTCTTGCACTGTCCCTCTCTGTGTTTACCTTGTCTTTACCTTATCAGTATACTAATTATTTTTCGTTCAAGTTCTCTTTTCTCCCCCTCTTTTTTTTTTTACAGTTCGGGAGATTAGTCTATCCTTTGTTGACTCGTTATAACTTTACTGCCTAGTGTTAGTACAGCAGCAGGAAACCGTAGTGCCTGGAACAAACCTGTAATGTGGTTGGATTACACTGCATAGTTTACTCCTCACATCTGACCAGGAATGGGGGATCGAACCCGGTACACAATAGTGAGTTTATTACACACACACACACACACACACACACACATGTCCCAAAAACAGTGTCGTGCCAATTGTAATCCCCTCATATGAGCCCTTAACTCCGGCATTAATCTGGTCATAAGTGTCTAATTCAGCTGATCTTGATACTGGAGTCGTTAATTCATTGGATCTTGTTCTCTGCAGTTTAGCTGACGCAGAAGATATAAATTCAAAATTAGATTAACCATTTAAGGACGATGGCGTGATAGTGTGATAGTGTAACAATTTTAGAACGATGGAGAAACCCTTTGAGGATGATGGTTTAACCGTTTGAGGAATGATGGTTTAACCTTTAGAGATTAACACCTTAGATCATGGTCCTTAAAATACTAAGTAATTATCGGTAGAATGATTTGCGTGCTGTGTTAGGTATCAAATCGAACACACACACACACACACACACACAAACAAAGAAATAGAAAAAATCAGGTAACAAACGTGTACCAACTTCCTAGTGTCATATTTCCAGCTGTTAAGGTTCCAGCCACCAGTTTCCAGCACGATGGTTTATTTTTTTTTCCAGTTTTCCAGCATCACGTTACAAGAGTCAGTATTCGAGATACCCAACTTTCTTCTTTAGCCTCTACAACAATATCTTTCTTTAAGGTTCACGTGTCATACATAGTCCTCCGTGTCATGTGTAAGTTTCCCGTGTCATGTGTAAGTTTCCCGTGTGATGTGTAAGTTTTCCTTATCATGTGTAAGTTTCCCGTGTCATGTGTAAGATTTCCGTGTCATGCGTAAGTTTTCCGTGTCAAACGCAAGTTTTCAAAGTCGAGATTAAAGCGTTCCTTGTCAAGCTGTCAGTTTTCCTTGTCAAGATACAAGTTTTCCGTGCCAAGCTTTGATTTTTTCAGGGAGGGACACACACACACACACACACGTTGGCCTGTTATTACAGCCAAATGTCGCTCACCAACACACTCCGGACCAGTGGACCAGCGAGGCACGAGTCTGCCATCGACGAGTCATAATCTTATATAATTTGGTTATATATTTGTATGTACTGTAGTTTTTATTGACCTTCTTCTAAGCATAAAGAGAATAAGTGACTTTGGAAGTGTTCAGAAGTAACTAACATCTCACAAAGGCACAGAAGCTTCCAGGTCACTTCAGTAACCAGACGACGGAGTGAGTGTAAAGGTGTCCACATAACCTCCACCTCCTGTGACGCTGACTATAGCGACCACCAACATTTTCTTCACCTGACATTGATTCATAAGTAAAGGAACTCTGAGGCAACTGTTCATCTTCTCTCGTTATTCCCAACTTTTTTCATATTCTTCTCCTGCCTGTGGTTCCTCTTCATCATTACCTTATCATTCCTCTGTTTATTATGGAGCCGGCGCTTCTCTGGGTTCTGCCTTCTCGATAATTTATTAGTCCTGACCTTCCTCTCTTGTTTCTCTTGCATTATTATCAACTACGTCTCTCCTTATCATCATTATCTCCTTTTATTTCTCCTTCTCCACCTTGATATTTCCTTTGTTCTCCTCGTTGCTCTCCCTCTTCTCAACCAGTTCATGTGCTAGCTATCTCCCTCTTAACTCACTTGCCTATTAGGGACAAAGTATGGGGTAGTTAGGCTATTCACCTAGATATGAAGGGACGGACTCTTTATAAACAAGCAATAATTGTGGTGAACTTTTACCCCTAGTGCGAATATCAACAACAACAACAATAATAATAATAATAATAATAATAATAATAATAATAATAATAATAATAATAATAATAATAATAATAATAATAATAATAATAATAATAATAATAATAATAATAATAATAATAATAAATACAATAATAATAATAATAATATATTTTCTTGTTGTTCGCACTACTATATTACCAGAAAATACAAGAGAACGTGGATTGACGCGAGACGGATACACAGACAGACAGACAGACAGACAGACAGACAGCAAAGTTTCTCACAAGTCGAAACTTTTGTTCAAACTTTTCTATGCCGACAACTGATACGCTTCCCGTCCCTCTTACAAGCACAACACCTCCCGGAGCATGACAGACATCCAGCTGAATGTCAAAATAGGTTAAATGTCTCTGTTGTATCGGAGGGCTAAAAGCATTCTCTTTTCTGGTATGTTAGAATCTACCAACCCGTGACCGCTGTTGGCTCGATAGTCTTTTATTTTATGAGTATATTTTGTTTTCGTTCTATACATTATATTCATGTCAGTATATTCTTTTATCTTGGTATACATTTTCAGATAAGTGTGTGTGTGTGTGTGTGTGTGTGTGTGTGTGTGTGTGTGTGTGTGTGTGTGTATGACTCCTCCCGACAGAGTGTGTGTTTCATGATCATCACAACAAAATAATTACTGGTAAACAAGAATTTTTACACAGATATGACACACTGTACCATTATGTTAGCAGAGTCAGATGGGTAAAAATATACTTGAATAATATAATTCTTCACGGCCAGAGCTTTAGTAAAGGTGAGGAGTGTACAATATATTATAACAGGTTCAGACAGTCATACTAACACACAAACAAAGAGAAGAAAGATGAAAAATATCCCAGGCATGAAAATTACACCTGATTGGTTATTACTAAGTGTAATTAGCACTGTAATGAGATCAAATTACGCCGTCATTATGAATATTTGATGAGTTTCTGATCTATATTGAGCAAGACAGACAGCTTTTCGAAAAACTACACATAACACTGAATTTAGTAATGTAATTGGAGATTGTTTGATAAAGTATTCTCTCTCTCTCTCTCTCTCTCTCTCTCTCTCTCTCTCTCTCTCTCTCTCTCTCTCTCTCTCTCTCTCTCTCTCTCTCTCTCTCTCTCTCTCTCTCTCTCTCTTCAACAATTTATTTTCATTTTATCAATATTTGTCTATGTTTTCCATCTATCTCTCCATCTCTTTCTTTCTCTCTTGCTTGTTTTATTACACATTATTCTCACCACCACACATCTTCACTATACTGCTTCCTTCATCACCACACATCTTCACTATACTGCCTCCTGCACCATAACACATCTTCACTATACTGCCTCCTTCATCACCACACATCTTCACTATACAGCCTCCTTTACCACACATCTTCACTATACTGCCTTCTTTACCACCACTCATCTTCACTATACTGCCGCCTTCATCACCACACATCTTCACTATACTGCCTCCTTCATCACCACTCATCTTCACTATACACCTCCTTTACCACACATCTTCACTATACTGCCTCCTTCATCACCACTCATCTTCACTATAGTGCCTCCTTCACCACCACACATCTTCACTATACTGCCTTCTTTACCACAACTCATCTTCACTATACTGCCTCCTTCATCACCACACATCTTCACTATACTGCCTCCTTCATCATCACACATCTTCACGCTACTGCCTCCTGCACCACCACACATCTTCACTATACTGCCTCCTTTACCACCACTCATCTTCACTATACTGCCGCCTTCATCACCACACATCTTCACTATACTGCCTCCTTCATCACCACACATCTTCACTATACAGCCTCCTTTACCACACATCTTCACTATACTGCCTCCTTCATCACCACTCATCTTCACTATACTGCCTCCTGCACCACCACACATCTTCACTATACTGCCTCCTTTACCACTTTCATTACCTCTTACTGCATTTCGGTCAATTTGGAAATTGACCTCCTAGCGACAGTCGTTTACTTAAGTGTTGTGCAATTTAAAATGGGTAAAAACAAGCAAAAGAATACTAACAACTCCTACGGCTCCTCTGTGGCCATCTCTGGCGGGAAAAATATATCCGCCGGTAGCTGTACCCCAGAAAATCTAGGTTACGTTGTGCTAGACGGCGAGCGGATCTTAATCGCTACTGCTTCAAATGAGGACCATAAGGTCCACTTTGAAAATGACTACCCACCACCACCTCAGACCAAAGTTGTGTCTGTTGAAAAGATTAAGCGGCAGCGTGACGAGAACCGCCAACGCCTGCTGAAAGACACCGTTGTCAACACACAAAAATATCTTGTGCAAAATAATACATTTAAAGTCGCCGGTCTGGTGATAGCCGGGCCCGGTCACCTCAAGGAGCAGGTCGTTCAGATGCTTCCGGAACCCACCAAGAGGATGGTGAAGGCTGTCCTCTCCACCGGGAACAGTGGGAAACAAGGCCTTAAGGAGGCCTTGCGACAAACAAAGAACCTTTTAGGCAAGTTGAAATCTGATGCTTCTAATTCTGTGCTAGATGAAATCTTCACCCAACTCAAGTGTGGCAACGATCAGTTGGTGAGCTTCGGTGATGAAGTACGTGAGGTTGTAGAAGCTGGCGCCGCAAGGGTTGTTTGTGTTTGGAAAGACTGCCCAAGTCGGCCTTGGTTTGTCGAAAACTGCATGTATTCTAACACGAAAGTTTTCATCCTAACCGAGTCAACCGAAACCTCCAAGACACTTGTTAAAACCTTCAGTGGTGTGGCAGCCCTACACCATTACAACTTCTCACTTCACCAAAGTTTAGCGGCAATATATTGATTTCCCTATTCCTTTGTATCCTCGATACTAATTGTAAATAAATCTTAACACACATTTGTAGTTTTTTTATCTTCACATATAATTTGTATTTATTAAATTATTCTTCACATAAAATCATGTAAACACACACACACACACACACACACACACACTACCCCCTTCCATGTTTCTGTTACACTCTCACTCTCTCTCTCTCTCTCTTTCTCTCTCTTTCTCTCTCTCTTATTGTCAGAGTATATATTGAAGGTACAAGTAGAAGCAGAGAGACAAAAAAGAAAGGAGAATAGAGAGAATAAAGAAAAAGAAAGGAATGGAGAAGAATGCAAAACAACGGCGTCTTCAATCAGGTCTAGCTGCGGCCCTAATGACCTTGATGGACTGAAAACCGAGAAAAAAATCAATCAATGACAAATGGCGAAACTACACAGCGGCCAGTCACACACCTGGAAGTCTCACAGCCTCACAACCCGGAAGTCTCACAGCCTCACAACCCGGAAGTCTCACAGCCTCACAACCCGGAAGTCTCACAGCCTCACAACCTGGAAGTCTCACAGCCTCACAACCCGGAAGTCTCACAGCCTCACAACCTGAAGTCTCACAACCTGGAAGTCTCACAGCCTCACAACCTGGAAGTCTCACAACCTGGAAGTCTCACAGCCTCACAACCCGGAAGTCTCACAGCCTCACAACCCGGAAGTCTCACAGCCTCACAACCTGGAAGTCTCACAGCCTCACAACCTGGAAGTCTCACAGCCTCACAACCACACAGCATTACAGCCTCATACCCTCACAGCCCCAAAGTCTCAGAGCCTTACAGTTCCTAGATCTTTCAGTCAATGGATGAACATGAACAGGAGGAGAGAACCATGAACCACACCATAACAACAAATGAAAAAAAAACACGCAAAAAAACGTAATTTCCTTTTAAAGACTTTGAATAAAAATGAAATATTTCAGCCTCATCAATGACAAGGGAATTAAAAAAAAAATACAGCATTTGCATTACTGTCTCGTCCGACCAAACAATAAATATTTTAAAAGACTACAGATATTATAGAACTTTATGAATGTAAGTATGATGGAAAAGCTCGTCCAATAGGGCAAAATAATAGGTACTCAACAAGCATTCATATAATAGAGTCCTTAGTGCAACATATGGGAGGAAGACTAAGAGCAGTGACCTGTCAGATGTCTTCCTCTCTATCATCGTGTGAGGAGAGAGAGAGAGAGAGAGAGAGAGAGAGAGAGAGAGAGAGAGAGAGAGAGAGAGAGAGAGAGTAAACAAGAGAGATAGAAAGAAAGAGTGTAAAAGAGAAAAATGGAAGGGAGAAAGAGGGGGAGATGGAAAAAAGACAAATAAAAAGCGAAAGAAAGAGAAACACTAACAAAGTGGGAAGAAAAAGAAAGAATAATTGAAAGTGAGAAAGAGAAAGAAAAATTTTGTTATGAAAAGAGAGATAAAATAAGCGATTGAAAAACCGAAATGAAAAACAAACTTGGGGGAAAAGAAAACCAGACAAACAAACAATGAAAATAAAAGAAAAACATTGAAAATTAAGAACAGATGAAAGAATAATAAAACAATAACAAAATAAAAACTACCATAAATAAAAAAAAATAATAATTTGTTGTATAAATAAAATAAATAAATAAAAAATAAAACAAAGTGAAATTTACCACAACATCTCTTGGTAGATTATCACATTGAACATTAAACAAGGCGAGGAATAACAATGCTAGCTGAGGAAGTCAACGTCACATAACGTCAACAGTTCAATACAGTTTGGATGTTGTGTATCTATCGAGTTAAACGACGTAATAACTCATGTGTGATCAACAGTTTGGAATTCCAGAAACAAAAGTTGATCAAATTTGGAATTATCAGCAATTTTTTGCCTATTTGGGACAATATAAACAGTGGTATTAATACATACATGCATTTTTGTATTAATGCATACATGTATACGTGCAAATAAATCTATACGTGCACATACATACATACATACATACATACATACATACATACATACATACATACATACATACAACCACTTTCCTGGAAACGAGAATAAAATCAACATACGGAATCCAGTTTTCTTTTGCCGCCAGAATTTCGTCATAAGTAGAGAACCTAAAAAGAAAACGACACATTTAATCAGTAACACGACGCTGGTGGACTAATTAGCAGGTGAGTAGTGGCCGCGTTGACCCCACCACCAGGTACAGTACACATGTGACTTGGTGTAAAGCCCTGCATGAACACCAGGTTGGAGTGGAGGGAGGAAAGGTATTGCTCTCTCTCTCTCTCTCTCTCTCTCTCTCTCTCTCTCTCTCTCTCTCTCTCTCTCTCTACTTTTCTATATCTCATTTTATCTTTAATTTTCCTTCTTTCTCCATTTTTTTCACTCTAATCTCTCTTATCCCTCTTATACTTTCCTCCTTGAGTACGATGCGTAAACCCTTTGATTACAGAGACTTTATCCATTCAGTATGAGGTCTTAACCCATCATACTGAAGAGGTTACACTAAAAGACCTCTGGATCGCCCCCAAAACAGTGATAGATTAAGACGAACAAGACTGCCGCACCAAAGAGTCTTAAGGAACCTAAGAGTACTTTTGTATGTCCGGGCTCCACTAAGAGAGGATGTTCAAGCCACGTGTGAACGGTGTATCCCTCCAGAATTACGACACAGAAAGAAAGAGTAAAATAACATTGACTTCGGCAACAGGAGAGGGGGAGGAGAAAGTAAACAGAGAGAGGAAATAGAGAAGGATAAAAGAGAGAGACAGAGAGATAGTGAACACAGCGGCTGTGATGGTATACAGGTGCACGCCACATCCCGGGTTATACGACACTTCTTGAACTGGAATTTAAGCTCAACTTTCCCGATCTATTTCGCTCATAGAAGTCTATGTTCGGCTAAGGGAGGCGTCAGAAGGGTGAAAAGGTCGCATGGAAATAAATGAAATACAATTAAAATTGTGTCTGTAACACAGGTAATTTAAGAGTGCCAGATAATTGGCCATTGACCTGTGCGATGGTAATAAAGTTCTCGCAGTGAGTGAACAACTGAGTCAATCAGTCACTGCATCAGTCATTTACTAAGGACTGGAATTCTTAGAGATGACTGATGTAATTAAAAGCAATATAAGAGTCTCCATCAATACTGTTATTTCTTAAATCATGACCAACCTTTATTTTATCTGAAGGTAGTCTTAAAATCCCACGAATCTCCCTGAGTGAGTCTTAACGTACACCAGACGCCCACAAAGCTGGATCTCAGACTGTAATTTTTATGGCTCCTCGGCGGTCAGATCACGCCTGAAAAGTAAAGTCGAATTATCAGTTATCTAAAGGGTAAAGGATGAACAAAAGTATAGAAACTGAAGTCCCCAAGTCTTAAATTACTCAAGATACAGCAGCCGGGACGGGGTGACACATAGTGTTTAGCGTGACACCTGGGGAACACTCACAACACTTCCCTCAGCAGGTGTCACAGACTTCCACGAACATTTACAGTAAAGACAAGGATTAGCTTTTACCTGTCACGTTTTTAGGATTATGAGCCATCCAATATGGTCATCACCACCGACCAAGAAATACGCTCATAAGACACACACACACACACACACACACACACACACACACACACACACACACACTCATTATGAAAGGGATTAGCAAAATTTTCGCCTGAGGAAAACTGATACTCTATAAAAGACTGGACTTGGTTTTGAATATAAAAATGTGATCAAAGGGAGACCAAATGTGACAGAGAACTACACAGTGAATACCTACAATGAGATACTTTACTGTTGACGTCGATGTTTGTGACTTGTAACACATATCTAGAATGTAACTTTAGACTGTGTAAATTGATTAACATTATAAAAAATGAATACTGTTCATTAATGTGTGTGTGTGTGTGTGTGTGTGTGTGTGTGTGTGTGTGTGTGTGTTCATATACTCCTTCCTAAGTCCTTTATCTCTTCGCCTCTCACCTTTCTGACCCCTTGTAGATACCACCTCCACTCCCTACATTCTCCTCTCCCAACTTCCTGCCCCCCCCCTCTCCCCACTCCCCACCTTCTCCTCTCCCCACTCTCCCAATCTCTACCTTCTCCTCCCACCCCAACTCACCACCTATCCCTTCCCCACCCTACTCCCCACCTCTCTCAATACCCTCTCCACACCACGCCCACTCCTCATCTCCCCACATCCACTCCTCATCTCCCCAGACCTCCCAAAACACGAACAGAACGAACAATTAGTCTCAGATTACGGGGCGGAAGGGGAAAATTAAACGCGCGTTCTTTCACTATTTCCTCCACGATTCTGCCGGTTCATTGCCTATTTTCCAGGTCAGAGGGCAGGGAAGAATATCGTGGGGGGGGGGGGAGGGGGGTTACTATCCTCAGTTATATTACAACTTAATTTAACCTAACTTATCATAACGTAACATTACGTCATTTACTTTAACCTAAACTTTGTCTAACGTACCATTACTTAACTTACATTAACTAAGGATATAACTTAACCTAACATAACTCAATTTAACCAAATATAACCTAGCCAAACCTACCCCACTAACCAAACATACCCTATCTTAAATTAAATTAAGGTAACACAGCTTAATTTAACCTATCATGACCTAACCTAACTTAACATAGTTTACTTTAACCTAACCCCTTTAGCATGATGGAGAGTTAAAATAGAGACTTAACAAAATACTCTTCATATATATCAGAATATTTTGTATCTAATTGAGGGACGAAGGCAATGGTTTATGCATAATAATCACCGTATATGTACTTAAATATGTACTGTAGTATGTAAGACCCAGTAACCTGTACAATCATCTTAAACGTGAATCAAAGCCTTGGAATGGTGTGCTGAAAATGTACTTCAGAACTATACATTTGAGACACGTAACATAGCCTGGAGTTGAGTACTAAAAATTATACTTCAGGGATGTACGTAAACCCCTTGAGTACGATATTAAACCCCTTGAGTACGATATTAAACCCCTTGAGTACGATATTAAACCCCTTGAGTACGATATTAAACCCCTTGAGTACGATATTAAACCCTCCATATAGAATGAATTAGACCTGTAAGACACCATAAATCCCTGCTGTACTTTGACTTGATTCCTTCACCATAATGTCTTAACTCTTTCAATACTTTAAGTGCGATGTCTTTAAATCATTGTATTAAGGCGTTAGTGTAATACTTCAATACATAATATATATAAACGTGTAGTTATATATAGAGGAATTATAATCTATCGGTATTACATATATTTGTCTTTCACAGGTTCTTATGTGTGTGTGTGTGTGTGTGTGTGTGTGTGTGTGTGTGTGTGTTGGTACCTTTAATTAATCAAGTAGAAAAAAATGGCCTTACTCGATACCTTAAGGACCATTGTAAATACCTCTATCAAGTACGTGATCCGGAAACAGTGAACCAAATAAACGCCAGAGATTCACTATTTACTCTCGTGCTCAATCAATACTTAACGATGTATATGCAAAGGTACTGTACTGTCAGGGATAGATTGAAGTGGTTGTACCCTGAGGATGTATGCTAATAGAGGGTACTAGAGTGGGTCGCCCTTCAAGTGTTTACTCTGAGGAGTCTAGCAGAAAAGGGGAGTGGGTGGTTTTGGAGGGTGTACTCATATGTCCTTCTCGAGGGGCACCGTCTTAAAAAAAAAAACTTCCAAGGAGGAGATGAAACCACGGGACCTGATCTGGAGCAACTTGGTAACATACTGAACATTAGACCATGGGAAAGAAAGAAAGAAAGAAAGAAAGAAAGAA